GGGTCAACTTCTCCAAGGAGATCATCACTCTCTCCAAGGAGGTGCGTGTTTTTGTGATTATTTGTGAGAGACACAATCTGATTTTTAACACTAGGAAGGTAATGTTTGCAAAGCAGATGCATAATGTTTGCCTTCGCATATGTCTGCTCTGTTAATTCTTACTCAAACACATTCCTTCAGTGAACATAATTACTGTGGATAGTTGATCTGATTTGATGGAGCAAAGCTATACTGTGCTTCCCAAGGGCGCAAGATCGGTGACAAGGTGGGGTTTGAACCCGGGATCTCTTGGTTCCCAGCCGAAGACGCTACCGCTTCGCTACACGACCATGAATTGTCACTGATGCACATTTTTTGCTGCAGGTGCGGAACCTGAAGTGGCTGGGGTTCCGAGTCCCGCTGGCGATTGTCAACAAGGCTCACCAGGCTAACCAGCTGTACCCCTTCGCCATCTCACTCATCGAGAGTGTTCGCACCTACGAACGGACCTGCGAAAAGGTGAGCCGTGTATCAAAGTGTTTTTTCAGTTCAATCTTTATCAAAACAACTCGCAGACGTGTGTCTGAATTGTGTTGTTTTCAACAACAGCAGGCGTCTATTCTCAACTAGTTCAATATCCGCTTTTAAAATTATGACGTCTTGTCACTTGCCCTTGCATAATAGGGTATCAACTTGTATAATAGTAAATGCAACTTTTGTGGTACTGTAAGGTTTAGACTAAATGGTCCAATCAAATAAGCCAAAGTATTAAAAGTGACCCGTAAGTTCACTTCTATTGTGTTGTGCAGTGCATAGATAAAGCCTCCCTCTATGCAGGGTGATCCAATGTCTAGTCATATGAATTGTTAAATTTATTGCAAATTCATGCCCGAGGGCTAATTACAACTACTGTAACAGAAGAAACATTTGGCAACTACATAGGAACAGGCAAATTAATACCCAAAGAACTACTGCTAAACTCCTAAAAGCTACATGTATATACTGGGTTTGACTCCTTTTTTTAAGGCAGAGGAAGACAAAAGATCCCACTTTTTCTGTAATTTGTGGGTTTTTCGGATGTTAAGAGCAGAGTAGTTTTCTTTTCATCTGTATATGTGTGAAAGTTAGGGTAGAATTTGGAGGTCAAAAAGTTCATTTCATTGCTATAGCGAGTACAATTATATAATCATAAACTAAATTTCCCAGTCTTAAATTGTGCAGTCTTGTATTGTTTGTTGATGAATCTCTCCATCTGTACAGGTTGATGAGAGACCCCAGATCACCCTGCTGGTGGCAGGACTGAGGAAGGATGTGCAGGCTTTACTGGCAGAGGTAAGTCTGCTGAATCAGCAGTGTGTCTTATACTTTATCCATTGGACTATGTACTGTAAGTCCATTTTTGATTACGAAATCTTTAAGTTCACGGTTTTCACGAAGACGCTCTTCTCGTGAACTCACCACCTCGCGAACCCATTCCGTACGTACCACCCCCCTCCCCCACACATCGTGCGTCTCAACTCTATACTAACAACTTCTACATTACGTAGTACTAGTAAATGACAAGACTCAACGAATAACAGCAGACTTCTTTTCAGAATCAAATAAACTTTATTCAATGAGCATATGGTTCACGGAGTCATTATTTTGTTACTAGTAATACAAGTGTTTCTTGCGAAGAATGGTAAAAGTTTACAAAGCCGACTAGACAACATCAGTTTTAACAAGAACGCTAGTTCGGCGATAACGTAGCGGTGAACAGCTGTAAACATGTGCAACATCGTACATACGGAATTTTACAACATACATCGGTAAAAAGTTGTTGTCGTGTACAAGCCACGTAAAGCAGAATTATTTACGGTACGGAAAATCGGAAAAAAATAGAACCAAGCGGGATAGCGTGGGTCTTTGTCTATACCTCGAGAGATCAAACTACACGAGTTCAACGTTACTCACCAAAGCTACACGCAAAAAACACAAGATTTCCATACATCCCAAGAAAACTTACGCTACATATACAACATTAACAGGTATTTATAGGGAAGAATTGCACGAAAATCTACCGCCGAGTAACCGCCGAGCCGATCGACAAATCACAAGAAATCCAACATGGCGGCCTTTGTTTACATAGCGCGTTGTCTAATGGTCTAAGTTTGCTTTATTTTTTTATTTTTTTACAACTTGTTGAATCAACATGGTTTTAAACGTTCCCAAACAGCAAATTTATAGAACAGTGCGCTAAAATTTCACAACTAAAGATGATTTACGCGAGGACTACTGTGCAGAAGTTGGCAACATTTGCGAGTCGAAAGTTCAAACATGGCGGCGGCTTTTGTTTTTACT